TGGTCACCCTGCACGCGCACCTCACGAAATACCCCCAAACGACCAAGCGTCTCGAAAAGCCTCTGCTGAGGAAGCCCTACTCACTGCCTTCTCGCGGCGGAGGTGTTTTCCCACCAAAGTGAGACGACGAAAAGCCGATATCCCGGGCTATAGCCGGATTGGTAGACCACTGGCAGTTCACCTAGGGGAGTTGGCCAAAAACTCTGATTCCAAACCAACCATGAGGAGACGTACGAACCACATCCACACCTTTTCGGTTGTGGCAGTGGTCACCGGCTCGATTGGGCATTGAGGTGTATTGGGCACCTTGGACGTCTGACCCCGTCCGAAGAGCGTATGATCCGATGAACTGGACACCGTCTCCCAGTGGACTGCGGTTTTCGCACACCGCCCCGCTGCCTTGCGGGTCAGGCTTTGGCTAGCCGAAGGCTCCGGTTGTGGGTTCCTCGAGAAAATTCACCTGCCTTGGCCTGAGCAACCTGGCAGTACTCAGCCCACAAGCCAATCATGGAACATTTTTCTTTTTATAAAGATTATTGTACCATGATTTGTTTGGCACACAGTCTGTCCTCAGACAAGTGTGAAATAATTATACGTTCGCACCATTCAACCCTCGCCAAACTACGTACACATCGATAGCCGAAGAATTCTAGACCATAACTTCCACGCGCGAATTAAAAGTCTCGCAACCATAAAGCCGAACTGACTGCACACTGGCGCAGTATACATTTTTACGAAGCATTACATTGGTACCAAAGGTGTTTCAGTCCTGCGTACGCTGTTCGTGCCTTGGTTACGTGGTTACTTCCAGCTAGTCTGTAGTATGGTGAAAGACGACTTATAACGATACATGACCTCAGCGCAAGCATACGCTGAAACCGCAAAATCTGTTACACTCAACGCGCATCAGAGATGACAGGTGCTGCTGCCATGAGAATTCCCGTAAGCTATTCCACCTCATCGGGGTCACCGGTAGGAAAGTTTTGTTTGTAAGCGAACCGATCAATGAAGATGGCTACTCACTTATTCGCAATCAGCAACGAAGTCTTGCACGCTGGGCGGAGCACTTCGCTGCACAGTTTAATTTACCATCAATGTCCGCTTCTCCCACAACTATTCTAGCACACGTTCTCTGGTCTGTCTCAACTAACTCACCCTCGGAGGCGGATGACCGCAATGTGATGCAAGCCTTGGTGCGTCGCGAAGAGCCGGGAGCTGCAAGTTCTGTTTTTTGAAGTTGATTGTTGTTCTCAATCTTTGAAAAGGGCCCGCGTAGTGATTGTGCCAATCACAGTGGTATAATTCAGACCCAAACAGCGTCGAAGCGGTTGGCGTCCGTCATTCTCCGACGATTATACAAGACGCGTGAAGACCAAACCCGCTAGGAGCAGGCTGGGTTTCGCGGCGGTCGATGATGCATCGGTCAAATCTTACGGCAGTTGCTAGAGCACCGTCATGCCATCAGAGGCCAATGTTCAGTGTTCTTAGACATCCGCGCGGCCTTCAATTCCATCGATGATAAATTGAGTACCTGAGAAGAAGTGCGTGTCGATCCTCAAAGAGTTGCTTCGTCATACCTCAGGTTGGGTTAGGGCTTATGGATAGCTTTTGCTGCCCTTCGCGGATTCCAGCGGAGTTAGACTTGGCTGTCCTATATCCCCACTCGTTTTCAAATTTGCCATAGAGGATGTTCCGCAGAATGCTTCGTCCTGCCTAGAAAACGGTAGAGTCGAACTCCTCCCAGGAATCAAGGTTTTTTACTTCGAATATGCCGATGACATTGCCTTATTGGGTGACAATGCACAGGTAGTCCAACAAAGTTCAAATCACTTGACGATAGAGGTAACCACGTATGGTATGTGCTTTGCATCATCCAAGTGCAAAGTGGTTGTTCGAGACTTGCAGGAACCTGTGCTTGCACTCACCCTTTCTGGTGATCAGATAGAACTAGTCGAGAACTTTAAGTACCTCGGGACCTTAATCACAACTGGAGGTGGTGTGAGATAAGAGAGGTTAGTTTGAGCTCTGGCTTTGGTTGGTGCAGCCCACTTTCCAGGTGCGAACCCAAGGGATGAAGATTGTCGTTGGTTAGAGACGCTGAGAGATATGGCCCAGAATAGATGTACTTGGCGTGAATGCTGTACAATCTGCCTGTTGAAATCCGGTGCCTCTTGAAAAACGACAAGTGAACACAAAAGTATCAAAAATGTACGGCGAAACAAAAATTGTTATTCTTGTTATCAATTATAACGGTTTGATCCTCATTTCACTCTGCTTTGTATCCCAACTACTCCATTTTCTGTTATTATTGTTTTGCGTTGATATCGTGCTTGTGCACAAGCCGGTGATAAATATACGCGCTGGTTCTTGACCCCCGAGTCCGTTTGCTCTAACATGAACTGCTCTGCTCTGCTATTAACTCTAAAATCTGAACGCTTTTTCGTTGCAGCCGGATGAAATCTTTATTAAGGCGTGCTTTACAACAAGTCACAGTTTCTACCGATGTCACTCAAGACAATTCGGGAAGGTCTGGTGTGAAAAGTAAGTTTCGTAATAAAAAACAGCAACAACGCGAACTTTTTTCTCTGTAATAGAGAGGCCCGCTGTGTTCAGAAATCGAAAAGCCGGTCATCTCAAACGTGTGAGAAATGAACGACATCAAAAATCTCGTGGTAAAAACCAAAGTTGGAAGACCGTTCGGGATCCGTCGAGTAAGTTTGTATTTATGATACCCAGTGCTTGGATGAGATGCTAGTATCATGAATTTCCGTTGGAAGATGATATCCCTCTGTGTACAATTTATAATAAAGCATTGCTTGTGGTTCCAAGTGTTTTCGTAGCCTGCACAGAATGCCGTTTTGTAAAACGAATTTTGGATCGTGTCTAAATTACTTGCTTGACAAATAATCATTTCTTTCTCTAAGATCATCTATCAGATGTTAGCAGTTCAGTAATGCCGGTACATTTGACTATTTCAACTCTGTTGGTAGACAAGCAACTTCAATGATCTCAGTGGTTACCGATTAACAACACCAAGGACACTTTGGCACGGCGAACAAAGTAAACCTGTATCGGTACCCCACAAATCAGATTGGGGACTTGCGCAGTTCGGCACTCTAAGTTCCATGGTTTATATCCTCAGTTCCCGCAACCGAACTGTGGTTCCTCTTGGCTATAGGACTCACTTTGTCAGTTGCTGATCACACTAAGGTACTAATACAAAACGGAATACATACATGATCTCGACTCAGTGCGCTGTCACACTCATAACATGGCTCCCTATGATTAGGTTCAGTGTATACACCTTGATAGCCCAAAGGAAAAAGTCAATAACGTGCGACTATGTCCTGTTTCAACCTTGTGGGTGACGTTTTGACAATGACTGAAGATTGATTTGAACTGACTATCCTTGGGACTTCACCTTCACGCACAACCCTCAGTTTATCGATTCAACCATACACTGAGACGCACTAGACGCGAGTTTCGCTCTTATTAGAGCTCATCAGTAGTGCATATTCACTGCACTGTCCGGGCTTTGAACTCCGGAACAAACGAATTGGCAATTTAGTTCAGCCATGGTATGAGCTGGTTGGTAGTGTTAATACACATGTCTTCCATGCGATGGGTCCTGATATTATCAGGTGATGTTGGTTCCAGCTTTTCAGCTAGCGCATTCTGAAAGACGGTTAGGTATGCAGGTTGAGAGAACTTATCGCAGTCTAACCGTCACTGTCCCATGCGCTTAGAACGCCCACCGAAGCACGTGGACAACTGGGCGCAAACCAATGCGTGGTGGGATTTAAAGGGAGTGCTCCAGAACGATCGGCAGTCCTCAATACAGCTCCACCATTGGTGGCTTATAGCCGTTTCCCGAACGGCAAGAATCTCACCCGAAAAGACTTGCCAGATGCGCGTCGCTCAAAAACAGCCGGCATACTGNTGTAGCACGCATATCCCCCAATAAATGCACGATATCAGATCAGTTTGCTTGATGCAAGAGGTCGTGTAGTTTCTGGTTAAAAGTATCTTTGACTGTATCTGGGCTAAAGTTAGTGGGTGCGCTGAGAGGACAAACAAGTTGCTCACTTTGTTTGAGTCTGTAAGTGTCACTGCGCATAACTGATTGTCGACTGAGATCCCATTGTAGAAGGGCGGATTCAGCTCTCTCATTGAGAGATTGGTGTGATGAGGAAATCAATCGGATAATGGAGCTGGAGTCTTCAATGCGAGTTGCTTGAACACAACACATAATGGTTGGGGTTTCAAGCGTACGAGCTAAACATGTCTGTTGTCCTTAACGCATTCGAGCACGCATATTAACCTTGGCTAGTTTGAACACACATTGAGGACGAAAAGGAGCTTCAGCCAGTAGAAGAGGATTCGGTGAATCTAGAGGCTATTCGAGGCAAGACGCGAAAGAATAGGAGCAGGATTTCCATCTGAGACCCTACTATTAGCACGATCGTCTGAAAACCCTGATTGAATGGAGCAAGTTTGATGGTGATGAATGTGAGGTGAAGGAAAATTTTGGAAACAGGAAGCTGTAGAACGGTATTTTTTATCAGAAAGGAAAGCTGTGGGAGCGACTTCTTAGATGAGTAAAAGTTCACATTTCATTTAGTTTGCCTTGTGGGCTGTTGTACTACTCGGTCACCCAGCCCAGAATAGGTTTTGTTTGAGGGCGCACTCTACCCTTTGCTCAACCAAACGCAAACCATATTACATCAGCATTGTTCAAGATGAGCCGATGACTGGTTCATCCGCCTCTTCTGAAAAACCTTGTCGGGTAGGTGGACCTCGGCAAGGAGAGCAATGGTCGTAATAAGTAGCGGGCCACACTCGCCACGTCACAGATGTATGTAGAACCTTGGCTTAGTGGTAAATCAACTACGTCCTCGAGTGCTGCTGCTGATCATCCGTGATCACTTATTCAGTGAGCCTAAGCCACATTATTATCCGTTCACCGTAAGTCAACGGCTGTTCCCCTACCCGCGACCTAGGGACGCGCTGGTAGTATACAGCTCTGTCCTTGTCGAGTTTAGGTAGTCAACTGTATAAACAATGTCTGTTGCTTGTCGGAATTTGACTTGCGGTTCAGCAAGCACAGAACCACCTCGAATGAAGCTGGTGTCCGTCGTGTTCACCAGGATTTATTGCCATTTCTTTTGTCTTATTTAAAACTAAATCCTTAGCTTTCCCTCAAAAAGCTTCAGTATGGTCTAGGGGTGCGGCTGATCACCCTTACCTTGCACCTCGCGAAATGCTTCCAAACTACCAAGCGTCTCGAAAAGCCTCTGCTGAGGAAGCCCTACTCACTGCCTTCCTGAAGTGGTGTTTTCCTACCAATGAGGATGAAAAGCCGACACCCGGGTTGATGAAGCACTGGTAGTTTACCTAAGGGAGTTAGCTAAAAACCCTGATTCCAAAGCAGACATGAAAAGGCGTACGAACCACACAACTTCCTGGTCGTGTCATTGGTCACCGGCTCGATTTGGTATCGAGGTGTATTGGGCACCTTGGACGATTGACCCCGTCCAAAGAGCGTGTAATCCGATGAACTGGACACCGGCCCCCAATAGGT